TAGCAGCACTGAGAAACAGTGTGGAAAAAGTATGTTTCCCTATTTCTTCTACAGGTGTATCTTAAGCTGACTTACCATTCTGGGCGCCCCCTACTGGTAACATTAAGTGCATCTCCTTGTAAAAAAATAAACCAGGAAAACTATTGTTTATTTTATTTCATTGCAATGTCAAGTCGCATTGGTGGAAAAGATCATAAAATACTACAGTGTTTTGGACCTGTTGTGTAAAAATATGCTGCCAGAATATCGAAATGTATTTTATGAGTCAAAGAATGAAAGCTGTAATATCTCAAATACCGTAAAAGCACAAACGAATGACACCACTTTTGTCCAATTTGGAGCTATCTGGGGGGCTGAGTGGCCTGTGGATGACCCCCAAAGATATTGTTTAATATCTCAAATACCGTAACAGCACAAACGAAGCACAAACGTATGACAGCATTTTGGCCGTATTTTGCGTTGGATGGGGGGCCAACTTCACGAACGTGTGATACCTGTATTCAAATGCCTCTTTGTTAAAAGTAACCAAGTAGTGTTTTATGCCTTCATATTCAAGAAACTATAAGCTATCCTTTTATGTACCATAATGTAAACCTAACAGTAATATCTAACCCAAAGTTGTCCAGTTCCGTGTACCAGAGGGGTTCTTTTACCTAATAGAGATTAAAATAAATTTCACAGCGAGTTTCATATTCGGCCGACTAGAATGCTCAGTTTCCCAAGGACCACGAAAGCACCTGGTCAGTCATAAATCACATGGCGAATAATGTGCATTCGCTTTGTCTGTAGTTGACAACTGACGCGGGCGGTTTCTCATAATCAGCTAATTCAGAAACAGAAACGTAATTCTGACAACGATCGCTTACGTGGTACGCCTTAGTATTAAGGGTTACTCACTGGGTACACTGGATATGTTTTCCTTACATTATATGCGGCAAGTTATGTCAACGTCGTTCATAGCTTACATGCAGGTACAAAAGCAGGTGAAATGCCAAGGGATACAACTAAATTATGTAATGTATGTTTATAATAAGCCCCCACCATAATCTTTGGGAATCACAATTAATTTGGCTGCTTTTTGGCATTATGTTTGAAAAAACGAAATCACAATACTGTGACATTTGATAGTGACCCAAATAAACCCTCTGTCTTTACTGCCTTTGTATTTTCTCAACTTCCTCCCAGTCAATGCTTTCGTGAGAATGAACTCACTGACACTGCTGATGAATGTCACACAATCAAAAATGCCCTTCAAATCAGAGAAACAGTGTTACTGTGACTGACAAAATCTGACATATGGTGGACATGTTCACTGAACTCATCTTGATGACTACACACTAGTATAACCTTCTCTAGTTTATCATACATGGTGATGGAGTAAATTAAAACCAAAGTGAACAAAGATGTTTATTTTGAAAACAGTGGTTCATATAACATATTTTAGATCAGTAGTGGTTACTGACTGCATTATAACAGTGGACACAATCGTTGATTAAAAAGGATTTTTTGCAACAAAAAGTTGCCGTACACTGCCATGCAAAATAAGGTATATCAAAAGTATGTTATAAAATTAGTCTTTCCAACTTATGACATCAAAAATATGGTTTTACAACTAACATGACAGCTGCATCTGGCAAATACATAATCATACATTAGTGTATGTCTGCTTAGTCTGTAAACACAAATGAGGAAGTCATATGATAAGACAATTCCCTCTTGTTGCTTTTAAAGTCATTTATCCCTTGTCCCTACAATACATGTAGTTAAGGCTCACACATGCTGCTGCTTTCATTCTGCCCAGCTGCAGCATTCACTGGTTCTTCAAGCACAGGCTTTGGCTTTGTCTTCTTAGGGGCCAGAACCAAAGAGTAACCAGGTTTAACACGAGGAAGTGCGAGCTTTAGCTTCAGGGCCATTTGTGTACTGTTGTGGAAAACACCATCCAAGTGTCCATTTGTGTTGTTGAGAATCATTTTCTGGTACAGTAGCTCACAACGGATTGCTTCCCGTTTCTCAACACGGGATTTTCCGTCATAACGCAGCAACAGTTTGTCAACATCCTGCTGTGTTTTGCATGGCCCTCCGTTTCTGTTCACCATAGCTATTATATAATCCTTATCCGTGTTCTCCTCAACCTCTCGTTGTATCCTTCTTCTGTTGTAGCCTTTTTTCGACTGTGGGCTCGTGTCATTTTTAACTTGCCAACTGGAAGAATCATCTGAGCTATCATCAAAAGAACCAGCCTGGTCATCACCTTCCTCAGAGCTATCCAATGGCAAGCTCTTCTGTGAAGCGCGTTTGGCGGACTTGTCAGGTCTTTTCTTTTCGTAGGGGTATGCATGGCCGAAGGGATATTCTGCCATCAGGACAGAGAATGTACAACTTACCAGCTGCAAGCTCAACGCTGGTGAAGGCACTTGGGAAAATTTTCCTCCTGGCAGGAAATCCTTCAGGTGTTCCTCAGTGACAGCTGCAATCACCTTTATTGTCCTCTTCAAGCAAGCTCTGATCAGGTCCCTATTTGTGTGCCAATGACCACAGTACTGAAAAACCCCATCAAATGTTTTCTCTTGCAGTGGGAACTGCAGAAACACATTTGTGGCCTCCTCAGGTTCCAGCAAAGTTGAAGGATCTTTGGACCAATCAAGGAACTTCTGGTACAGACAGAGAATATACCGGCTGAAGAGTGAGTACTCTCCTCCACTTTTCAGAAGCTGCCAATACGGGCCGAGGATTTTGCAGTAAACAATGGCCAGAACGCACACAAGGCTCTGAATCACAGAATCACTAGCATCAGCTGCAACACTCTCAAGAATGATGTTTGGGCATTTGTCATTGTTCAGTGACAGCAGATCAGAGAAGAAGAGAGCAATCTCTTTGTAATGGTGAATAAGGCCTGCTGCAGCTTCAAAGTAGTTGTTGAATCGGTTTGACTGATTTACTGCAAGCCTAGAGGGATTCCTCTTCTCCTCACAGAAGGCTACCCAGTGTTTTCTATAGTTTTGTTTATCAGGGGTGCGGGGGCTTAAGATATCACAAGCCATGTGAATGTAGCGTGAGGTGGCACTTTCTGAGAGATTCACAAAGTTCCTGAATTTTGGGAGCTTGTCGCGGCCTAGTTTCTCTCCTGCTGATAGTGTGATTTCTTTTTCAAAGCTCATAATATGCTGCTCAACCGCATCATGCACGTCAACAAGGAAATTGGCATTGTAGTTTAAAAACACCACAGGAGAGGTCAGTGGAATGTCTTTACAGAGGGAGTTGAGTTTTCTATCAAACTCTGCCATGGCTGGATGCTCCTTGCATGTCAAAGTGTACTGGTTTTTGAGAAGATCCAAAGAAACTTGCTTGCAGGCCATGGTTTTCCCACCGTAAACGCTTGACAACTTTTGGACAGACAGCATTGCAATGTCAAGCAGAGTCAGGGCCTCTCCTTTGTTATCTGAGGATTCTTCTCCGCTGTTGCACACATCCAAATCCTCATCACTTTCAACATGTACAGGTTCTCTCACTATTATTTTCTTCACTACTCCTCTGTTCAGCTCAGACACCTCACCCTGCATGATTTCATAGCTCTCGTATTCTTCCTTGATTGTGACTTTTTCATAATTGACTGCCTCATCTCTTCTCATGCGTTTCTTCACAACAAATTTAGGTGGTTTTTTTTTCACCAGTTCAAATGGACTTTGAAGCATACTTTCCATCGCTGCATTCCTCCTGTGGCTCCTTGTTTCAAAATTGCGACTACACCTTTTTAACCTTTTTATCTTGGCCCTAAGGATTTTATAGGCCTTTTGAATATCCCCATTCTTGCAGAAGTCAGAGTTAAAGTTTCTAAGCCAATTAACTATAACGACTGGGGCAATTCTCTCTCTGGTAACAAAGTTGCTCAACTCAAGAACCAGTCCGTTTGTCACTTCAATTGACTGTGCTCGTTCTGAAAAATCTCTCATTTCCAAAAGATGTTCTCGTTCAACGCCTATGCTATCACATATTGGGCCAACAAAGCTAAAGTTGACATTTGACTCCAGGAAGGACAGCCTTGCATCATTTCCCAAACTCAGTGTAGCTGCGATGCCTCTTTCAATCAAACGGCGAAAATCAGCTGACTGATATCTGGGGAAAATTTTCTTGAGCCATTCTACAATGGCAATCCAGGGGAAATTATTATCCTCTCTCATAAGGCCCACTTGAATCAGAAGTCTGTTCTTGCATGGTGTCTCTTCCAGCTCTAAACCCTCCCCCGACTGAGGACCAATGAAATCTGCGACAAGCTTCCAATAGTACAAATCTCCTGCAAAACAGAAAAGGTTATCAAGAAAAGTAATGCCTGACAAAGAGAAAATGTTCCATTTGACTGCTATAAATCTGTACTTATACTGAATAAATGCAGCCTGTTTATCTATGCTGTCTGATAAACAGCGTAACCAGTAGAGCTGCAAACGTTTTTTGTAAGTGTGTGGATTGTGTTGTAATAAAGCAGTAAATTAATTACTTGCTAGAAAAGTGTTCAGTAATAAAGTTATTATATACTTTGAATGTTTTCGACTTACTCAGATTAGCTTCAGTGACGGCTGCTTTACCACAAAGAGAGAAATTTTCGCCCTCGTCCATTGTGTGCTGTTTAAAAAGAGAAAAGTGAAAACGTTTAAATCCTCAGCATCTAGAAGCTATTTTGTGCACAGGCAAAGTACATTTTCGAGCTTCCCATTAAACTCGTATGTACCCCCCAAAACAATCTGCACTATTTGATGGTCCTACTATAAGCGTTACTTTTTAGAGTTTAAACATTAACATTATGTCTGCAATCGAGTTCAACACTGCCTACCTCTGCATGCTAATGTTAGCTTTGTGAGCAACTTGCTAATGTTAGTATCAACATTACCTTCAGGAAATTCAGCATACTAAACAGCAACAATCAATTAAATGTATCACAGTAGAAGAGATGTGTTGCATGTTGCAGCGTTTCCAAATTACCTCTAATGTACTGATATAAAGGTCGTATTTAAAAATGAAACGTTCCGACCCAGAAACTACACCACCAGAAGACTCCTCTTCACTCCGAACCTCACACGGTACGACCATGGAGGGGTCAAAACAGTGGGCTGGTCTGTGATTGGACAGTTGTTGTTCTTCTTCTTCTGTTTTTTAATGGCGGTTGGAAACCAGCTTTACGTGCATTACCGCCACCTTCTAGACTGGAGTGTTGGTCAGAACGGCCCCTACTATAACAAAATAACCGCACTCAGTTCACTTTGTCTTATTTTGTGTAACTCTGTGGTCTCTAAAAACCTAATAAGTGCTCTATATCCTATATCCCCAGACCTTTGTCCCAACACCCCCGGCAAACTAAAGTTCATTCCACCTCTTAAAACTGTATAGTTGAATAATTCCCTCTCCCTCCTGAACCTGGGACAACGCATTAGAACACCGTTCCACGGTTTTGATTGGACAGTTTTACAGAAGGCGGGCTTTTGTCGTGGTTTCCATCGGCCATAGAGGGTATAGGAAATGCATTTTACACTCTCCGATGCAGTAGGTGGCGGTATGCACCGTAATTGTTTGTTCGCAATCCGCCAGAAAACGAGGAAGAAGAATAATAATAAAAAGAAGAGGAGGAACTAATGCATTGTGGTTGAGCTCCTAAGGCTAGAGTGGGCTGTTGTCGTCGTCACACATAGCACCAGGTATTGAAAAATTAGCGAGGAAACACTATTTTCCTCTCCAGAAAATATTTTTGTTATTAATTTTTATTGACAATGTAGCAACTGTTTTCATGCGGCTTTTGCTACAGTAGCCATGCTAATTCTCGCCATGCTAATTCTCTTGCCAGTCAGATTCATTTAGTTTGCTAGCCAACAAATTAACGTTGCCATTGATGCTATGACAGGTAAAACATTCAGTGCCTAGTTTACATTTTATCGCTACTGAAAACGTTGTTGTATTATATATTTAAACTATTTGATAAATCGTCGGCAACAACTAGGATGAATTGATGTGACTATGGTCTGCAGTTTAGGTATCTACAAAACCGATGTTTCGCAAATGAAAACAATCCATAAGGAAAATAATAGTTAGTTGCAGCCCTAAGCCTCTGTTAGGCTCTGACGAAGGCCACAAGCCAAAACACGTTGGTTTTGCAACAAAGTTAATCTATACACTGCAAGTGTATAGAGCAATGTACCATAGCTTTCGTGTCACCACACGATTTATTTGGTGCAGGGAAGTATAAAAAGAAACTCTGTACACCTGTGTATCACCTACACGGGATTGCACAGCTGTGCTTCATATTGTGACAAACCCCTGTAGCCCTGAGTTTACAATATATACACAAAAGTGTACATTTGAATTCATGATATGACACCCAAGTTTAAATGAAGGTCTAATTGCAGTCATGTTTTTTTCCGTTGTATATATTTACTTTCCATTCATTCTGCTGCATTTCTCTTTACACAGGAGAGATGAAATTATTCACACTGAAACCAATTGATTTTGTTGTTGATTCTGTTTTTTAGATGCTGATATGTCACTGCTCTGCTGATGTCTGGTTTTCTTGAAGTGAAGGTCATTGTAAAGACCAGATAGTGGCACAAGATGGATCCCTCTGAAGCAGAAGCCTCAAGCAACAGTGAAAGAAAAGAAGATGCTGCACCGAGCACTTCAAATACATCAGGTCAAAGAGCAGATGAACCAAAGTTGAAGAAGTCATCTTTAAAGAGGCCCTCTGGTGAACCAACAAATGCAAAAGCAAAGAAGCTAAAAAAAGATAAAGTCTGCCCAGCTTCACTACACTGTGCATCAGGGGGAAGATATGCTTCTTGTCATATCAAGCAGTACCTCTCAGTATCCTACCCCAGCCTGGACTGCTCAGAAGAAGGGAAGTAAAAAGAAGAAACTATCTAAAGGAAAGTTAAAAGCTAACCAGACTGAGAAAAAAAAGACAGTCCGTGCCAAGCCTAAACTGGCTAATAATCCAGTTGCCAAGACAGAAGGAGGCACTACTCTGGTGGTGCCACAGAAAGAAACAGACCACAGATGGGGTCAGTGTCTTCCTGAGGAGGTGCTGATCAATATTTTTGAGATGGTGGTCATCCAAGATGGTGCTGTACCATTTTTATGCAGGTAATAAAATATGTTTGATTGGATGTAGATGACCTTAAATGATGATGCTATGACTGATGTACAGCATATAAGGCAGATTAACATTTGTTCACTTTAAATGAAAACATGATGACATTATCATATTTTATTTTACAATATGTTGCTGTCCATTTTAATGAATCTTTACAAATTGTGGTTAAACACTTGCAAATAAGTTGAAAGCAGAAGTTATCAGATTTAAAGCAAAACACTGACATATTGTCTTCAACACAATTGTCTATGATTTGCTAAATCACAATTAGGATTATAAGTAACATTTCTATAATTGATGTAATTGCTGATTAATCATTTGGACAGTAAAAGTGTGAAAATGTAAATTACATTTTAGAATAGAATGAATGTATGGCCAAGTATGTTACACACACAAGGAATTTGTTTCCGGTACAGAACCGATGGCAGCCATCTGCGGCGCCAACTCAGACATTTGGAGATGCCAGGGATTGAACCTGGGGCGTCATACACGCAAAGCATTTTGCAGACCTCTAGGGAATGTCTTCACTTTGCTTCTTTTGTCAGACCTATGGTCTCAACCTGCAAGTTTTTGGCATTTTAGACTCAAATATGATAAATCAAATATTGACTTTTTTTTAAACTTTTTTTTTATTTTTTTTACTTAATTGAATAATTTAATTGACTAATTGTTTGACCTATAAGTTGTATAAACATACTGGAAAATAATATTTGTTAATATAAATAAAAATATTAGTGTTTCGACTCCATCACCCAGCTGGAGTACTGTTTAATTTGGAGAACATACACACTGGACTAAATCCCCCTTTTTTTTCTGTTGTATTTCTGGTGTAGGGTGGGGAGAGTTTGTCGTCTGTGGAACGCTGCTGCCTCCAGTTCAGTTCTGTGGCGTAAGGTCACTGTAGGTTACTGTTGGATTGCACCAGGAAAAAGCCAGCTCCCTAAAACTGAGAAGAAGATAAAGGAGACTTTTAATTGGCTTGCAGAAAACAGGTCTGTATTATTAAATTTAATAAAGAGGTTTGACATGTACACACTGTGAACTGTGTTTTAGATGTCTAGTTTTTTAATACTATCTTGAAAATGTAATTATGAACTGTATTGTTTCCTAGATTGTCCCAGCTGCGAAGCTTCTCTCTCTGTCACTGGAAAAACAATGTTGACTACGCAGTAGAGGTAAGTCATCAAGACTTCATCATTGTTCTCCTGGTGATACTACTGAAATGATCGGCCTATCAATCAATTAGCAGAAAATTAATATATTAATTTGTTAAATTATTGCTTTTAATGTAATTTTCCATGCCAAATGCCAAACAGATGCTGGTTGAATCTTCTCATATATGTGTGCCTGATGCTTTTCTTTGTCATATATAATAGTAGAGTGAATATTTTTGGAATGTTGAACTGTTGGTGGGGTGAAACAGGAACTTTAATAATTATGAGCATTTTCCTTTTTTGTTTGTTTTGATATTCTATAGTCATACTGATTCTAATTAGAAAAAGATAGCAGACTCACAAAGTTATTTTAAGTTTCACTGCTAATTGGCTTTGTTGGAAGAGTTTTATTTTGAAGTAAGACACCTACCATCAAAAATTATCGACCTGTGTTAAGTAAGAACTCATTTTAAGATATTTGCTTATGTTTTTTTTTTTTTAGGTCAAAATTATATTAAAATAGTTCCTGAAAAATTAGGTTGCACCTTTTTAAAATCCTGAGCTTTAAAGCTTGCTATCGATGTAAATACATTTACCTTGCTTTCTTTTGTTTGTGTTATGAAACTTAGGTTTTGTCGCAGTTCTGCCCTCACCTTCGCTCCCTCACACTGTCTTACTGCACAGGCCTAACAGCAAGGGCCTTCCACATCGTTGGTCTGCACAGCCGGTCTCTGCAAAGCATAAATCTCCAGCATTCAGAGGTACATTACAGACTGGCTCAGTAAACATTATTTTGTACAAAATGAAATAAACAGGACACTTGCTAGTTTCATGGTAGAAACATTTTGATCATGTGCACAGTGGTGGCTGCATCTTAAATTTATCAGCCACTATTAACTTCAACCTGACAGTTCAAAGATGAGACTAGAACAGGATCTCAAAATTACCAGCCACCAGTACATGTTCATTTTCAACCCTGATCTGATTACATATAAAGTTCAATATCTATAGAAAAGTTATTTTTGCTGTAGTTTCAGGTTGAGGGTCTGCTGGAGTACCTTGAAAATCATGGGAGCCAGATCAAGCATATCTGGTTCACTCATGGACTAAAGTATGACAGACTTCTGACGGCCATAACCGTAAGCCCCCTTTTCCCTTCATTTGTCTTTAATATAAACATTAGTCAAAGCAAGTGAGCAGAAATGAACTTGGTACATCTGACATATATATTTTTTTCCAGAGAGGATACTGTCCTGATTTAGAGTTGCTGGAGGTCAACACAAACCTTGACAGTAAAGACTGTGAACTTCCTGTTTGCATCCAGGCACTACAGATGGCATGCCCCAAACTCAAGGTAAAAATAAATAAGTAAAAACTAATATTTCAGCTCTATATGCTAATGTAATTTGCAATGGTTGTAAGTGTTCACTGTTTTCCCTACTATGGTGTTGCACTGATAAAGAAGAAACTGGTCATAAAAATGAATGATTTTGCAGGTCTAATGTACAAATGGAGTGAAATTTCTTTAGAGCTGAAACAATTAATCAGTTAGTAGACAGAAAATCAATAGACTCTTACTAAAAATAACTGATTAATCGTTTCAGTCATTTTCATGCAGATATGCCAAACGGGTACCAGCTTTCTACATGTGAGGCTCTTACATTTTCCTTCATTATATATCATTGTAAACTGAATACCTTCAGGTTTTGGACTTGTGGGTTGGACAAGGCATTTGAAAATGTCGCCCTGTCTGTCTGCTCAGTCAAAATGTAACATTTTCACTATTTTCATACAGTTTATGAACACAATTATTAATCGGTAATGAAAATAACCAATAGTTCCAGCGCTAACCTCCGTCTTGTCTACTCTAAGAGATGCATTTAGCACTTGCCGTGTTCGTTTACGATGCCTTATTTTTCTTATACCAAATTTGTCAATATGTAATGTGTCTGTGTGTGTGTGAACTTTGAATCCATGAAACTTGTACATCCCATTAGACCTTCCGGATGCTGAATGTCCGACCTCGTCACAAAACAGTACGTACTGGTGGTGATTCAACATCGGGCTTCCCGTTACTGGAGGAGCTATGTATCGCAACCACTTCTTATTCCTACCTGACAGACAGAGATTTGTGGGACATTCTTTTTGGCTCCACAAGGCTGCGGGTGCTGGACCTGCGAGGCTGCTCGCGAATAACTCCATTGGGTCTTGCAGCATTACCTTGTCTTGGTAGGTTTAACTCCTAATATTTATACTTTATAAAATTTTGAGTTAAGTTACTTAAGTATGATTTTATAAAAATGTATACTGAAACGTTTAGTCTTTCTGAACTGCAGTGTACTACAGGCATATACATTTTTGACTAAGTTTTTTTTTTAAATACTTCTATAGTCTAATCTATTTTGTAGATTTTTTACACATATTAATAAAATAGCCAGCTGTGTTTGCAAATATCAATTGATTATTTTTGCATTCAAAACCCATTTATGAATCAGTACTTCCATATGTTTCTCTCTGTGTTTGGGCAGAGCTTGAGTGCCTGTTTTGGGGACAGTATTTCAGCAGCCATGTTGGGTTGTCATCCCCAAAGAAGGGAATCCACATGGTGACCCAAAAGCGGAGTCAGACACTGCAACAGCTTGACATTGTAAATCAGCTCTTTACTGAGGAGGACTTAGAGATAGCAATGAGTTACCTTGCTCAGGCGAATGAGAGAGATGCCCTACGTTCACTCAATCTGAGTGGGACAAGGATCACCCCACCTGCCCTCAGGTACTCAGCGTCTCATTGTCCCTCTCTAAACAGTGTAATAACCTGTCACCCAATGTTAGAAAAATTTAACATAGATGAAGGAAAACTGAGACTTTTGAAAATTAACAGGGCATCTTTAATTATTCTTGCAAGAAGGAGTACACACCAGGTACTCAAGGGTGTCTCTGCAGTAAGCTCAAAGGAGTGAAACTCCTTGAGAGCTACTTATACTATTCACTGCAGGCAAGCATCTGTCCCCTCCAGTCCTGGGGCTCAGGTCCCCATGTGTTTTCTTATCAGGAGATTGCCTGTGTCCTGACTTCCCAACCTAAAGAGCAATACACATTTACAAGCAGTTTCCTGAGTTCTTTAAGCTAAAGAACATCCTTTTACAATGACTGCACATTTGCTCAGAGTAAACATTAGTTACACACAAGAAGGAAAGATATGTCCAGTATTTTTCCATCACCCAACACTTAAGACAATCAGCAGGCATACAGAACTTGGTATGAATCAGTTGTTCACATAAGTAAACTGCAGGTTTAATATTACCATTTTCTTTCCAAGGGATTAATGCTAAAAATATTGTATCTACTGCAGGACAGTCATCAGCCAAGTGACCGCTCTTAACTACCTCAACCTTTCATCTTGCCGTTATTTTCCAAGAGGATTGAAGAGAATTTATCGTGGCCAAGAAGACATTCAACAGCTACTGGATAAATTGGAGTAGTTGTGATTTTAAACCAATTTTTAAGGCATAAATCATCTCAGTTGTAAAAATACAGGGGCATTCTGTTGTGTGTGTATGTATGTTATTTTTAACTGTTATACTTTTTTTTTATTCCAAGTTATGATAGCAAATGTTTGAAATAAAAAATTTTTAAGATGTCATTGTAAAGCTTGTTGTATACTTTGTTTCCACTGGGGAGTGCTATACTCAAGCTAAATTTACAGAAGAACCGAATGGGCTCTGACTTGCTACAAGGTCTTGTGCTGTATGTTGTGTACTGAGCCAATAGGCATCAACACCAGGAAAGAGAAACTTGACATTTTTGGAACTAATAATTGTAGAAAAAAAAGACAGTATATTAATATCTCATTTATTTAGCATACCACACAATGAAACCGTTTCAGTAAAAGTTTTTACAGTACTACTAAAACTATTAAATGCATGTTTGGGTTCAAGGTGAAGTAAAAGCAGAGCCAGCACAAAATGTATTCACTGTACTTGGGTTTCACTCACTTAGGAAGCAGCATATTTCAGTAAGAAAAGAATTTGCTCAAAAATCTTAAAAGCATAACTCTTAGTAAAGCTCTTTCAGGTAAAGTTAGTCGGCTCATTTGACATACTGGTAGTTACATCAGTGTAAACACCATCAAATGCATTTCTTCCACAAACATCAAAAAACAAGTTACTAACGTTCGCAAATCTAAATATTTGACACCACAGTTACTACCACCTGTGTTATCAAAGATCAGAATGACATACTGTATAAGTTGCAAAGACACTGAGGATCAGTAAACCCAACACTGATTTTTTTTTCATAATTTTCCATTAAGCTTTTTTTCACAGCATGCATTTGAGCCACAGGTATACCTCATTTGCTTATGTGGAGACTTTTAAATTTTTGTTTTGCTGTTTCTGGGAGGTTTTCACCCCATGAATTCTCCATTTCCACAGGTTGGACTCATATGTTGATAGTGGCTGAATTCCACTTAATTGTGTCAGTGCTTTGGCTCAAATTTTATTCAGTTGGGTTTAAAAGATCAAGTCACATTTTTAATAAACAGCATAAAAGGCTTTCTACAATGGATTTGTCACTCTTCCTTTTCAACCATTAAAAATTAATAGTATTCATAAAAATGCAATCTTTTTCTCTCCTGATATCTTTAAGGACAACAGAAACTGTCGCTTGAGAAACATGCACTAAAATTGTTTTGTGAGTAAAAACAAAACTAGTACTATTTGTAAAATTTAATTCTCAGTAAATTTTAGTTAAGACTGAAAAGGCAAGAAAAGCACATGAATAGATAATTGTAGCAATTTTCTTTACTTGCGCAAAGGGAGTAAGTTAAATCCAGTTAGAGGATCTGTGATACACCTCTCAATCAGCTGGAGATAGGT